TAGCCAATTCTTTTCATTTTTAAACAATTTCACTTAGTTAGCCATCGAAACAAGTTCAATCACCGTTGCTCTCATAAATGTGAAGCTGTCACATCCCAAATTTGTAAATTAAAATAAACAAAAATTGTAAATACGAATTTTTCAAATGAAGAAAAGCGTGTAGATACTCGCGCATCAATAGAGTGGTTCCAACATGACTTTCATTATGACCCCCCCCCCCCTAATGAAAGAAATGTTAAACATTATTTATATCATAATTATGTAGACTCATGTAAACTCAGGGATAGAAAGAGGTGGACCAATTGCATGGACTTCCTCGATCACCTGGCCTATCCATTTAAGATTTTTTTATGCGATATGTTTAACAAAAAGGTTTACAAAAAACCTTATGAATTAAGAGTCACTCGAAGTGGCGGTACGAGAGAAGTTTAATTAAGTCGACCGGTCCTTCTGTAAAAATTGGTAGTAACATGTGTTATCTGTGGTAGTAATTCAGTTTTAAAAAGATGCAACTCAAAACAATGGCGGATTTTTTGAACATTTTCTGAAGTAACTTATAGCGTCTGTAGTGATATTATTTTTTTAAGATTTAGTTTGTGTAATGTAAATTGTAATTGTTGTAATGTTGAACCGTTTAATAAGATATTCCGACTTTTTATATGTTATAAATCATAACAGAATAAGAATACCATGCAATCTAAGTGAAATTAGTCAAGAAAGATAAGAATTGGCTATAACTAAATTTAATTTTTCGAACATGAAAACCATTCTCTAAAAAACGTAACCTTCACCGCTCAACGTATCAAAAGAATCAGTATCAGTATCGGTCAAGAAAAGTTGAACCAATAATCCTACACGCTTTTCTTCTTTTGAAAAATTCATATTTACAATTTTTGTTTATTTTAATTTACAAAGTTTGGATGTAACAGCTTCACATTTCTGAGAGCAAAGACGATTAAACTTGTTTCCATGGCTAACTAAGTGAAATTGTTTAAAAATTATAAGAATTGACTATTACCCTTATTACTCAGTAATCTTTCGAAGAAAACATAATATACCTTTTATCGCCGAAAAGCTTAAAAAATGGCGCTAGAGAAACACGGAGGACACAATCTCATTAAGGATGTGATTATCTACAATTTTTATCTGAAATTTTTTTGTCTAAAATAGCTTATAATGGAATTAGGGACAATTTTTAAAATAGCCGAAATTTGTTTTTTTCGAAATATCTAGTAAGCCACGAACTTTTTCAAAAATCTGAAAAGCGCATATTTATGATCCCACAAAACTGCAATTCTTTCCCCATTTAACCCCGACTCTCTATCTCCAGTAGTTTCCGAGATACCCATAGAGAACATCGTAGGAAACTCACCCTGGATACAGGATGTTTCAAAAATTTTCTCATGTAAAAATAAGATTTATTTTTCATATCAATATAGGTCCGATTCTGCTTTATTTCGTAGCTACAGGGTGTTAAAATCTTAATATTTTTTCGATTTATTTTAATTTTCTTCCAAGTACTTTTAGCCGTTTAGAATGAAATTTGGAGGGTAAAAGTTACTATAAATGCGACATATTTTAAAGCTAAAAAAGTGTCGACATATTCACCAGGGACGTGCATATGGGTTATCACTGGAATATTTTTCAAAAAAAAGCATGTACGCCACTGACTTTTTTTTCTCTTGTTAGCGAAATAGTGTAAGCAGTTTAATGCGGATTAAAAGTTGTCTCTTGATATTTTGTCGATTTCGGGCTCCTTGATGAGATAAACGCAATTTTATTAATGTGCCTTGATACAAATCTAATAGCAACCTTAAAAAATTTTTAATACCATTAACTTGCAAAAGTTTTAAATTCATAATTTTAAATTAAGTACTCATTGATTCCTCATAAAAAAATATGAAAAAAAATCCTATAAACATGGGTATGGAAATGCATAGTTTTAGATTTATAGGATGTTAAAACTTTTTAAAATTAGGTTTTTTGTAATTATCTTAAATACGATTATTTTTTTATTCTAAATTGCTGCAGGTTGGGCTAATAGTAATAACAACTAATAGTAATAATATTTAATAATAAATTAGTTAAAATATATAATTTATTAATGTTATTTTTATTTTAATTTTATTAATTGTGATTAATAAAATAGAGTTTATCTCATCAAGGAGGCCGAATTCGACAAAATATCAAGAGATAACTTTTAATTGGCATTAAACGAACTACATAATTCTGATATCAAAAGAAAAAGGTCAGTGGCGCACATGTTTTAATTTGAAAACTATTCCAGTGATGATCCATATGCACGTCCCTGATGAATTTATCGACACTTTTTTAGCATTAAAATATGTAGCACTTACAGTAACTTTTACCGTCAAAATTTCATTCCAATCACTAAAAGTATTTGAAAGAAAATTATAATAAATCGAAAGATTATTAAGATTTTAGCACTATGTAGCTACGGAACAAAGCACAGTTGGACCTATGTTGGTATGAAAAATAAATCTTATTTTTACGTGAGGAATCTCCCCACGAGAGATGGCACATGTTTTTTGAAACACCCTGTACAGTATTGTCAGTGGTGATGAATCCTGGATTTACTCTTATGAACTCGAAAATAAACGTCAACCGGATGAAGCAAGATCAAAAAGCTGTTGCTGTTGATTGGTATCTATTTGTTTGCTGGAAATAATTGCTGAGTTTCGAAAAACAAACCCTCAACGAGGAATGATTCCCCACCAAGGCAATGCAAGTTTTTACACAGCTCGAAAAATAATTGAGCTTTTAAAGCACGAAAACATCGAATTGTTGGACCTTCCTTCATACAGTTCCAACCTAAGTACCTACTGGCGACTTTTTTATTTTTCCAAATTAAGAATGAACTGCGTGGTCAAAGGTTCCAGTACCCAGAAGATGCAGTGAGCGCTTTTAAAAACACAATTTTGAAGGTACCAACAAGCGAGTGGAATAACTGCTTTCAGAATTGGTTCTAAACGGATGCAAAAATAGATCCATTTCTCTTCGTGGAGAATACTTTGAAAAACAATAGTGATTAAAAGTTATCTACTGTTTTTTCTACCTCTATATGCAGAATATATAAAGCGTGTAGTGTAGACCAGATATTCGGCAGTTACAAGCTATTCCATATCTTGTTTTGCATTTCCAAGATATTATAGTCTTTATTATCGATTATATTCCGGCCTCGTCTCATAAATAATAGTTTGTAGTATCTTCGGATTAGTCCGAACCGATCACTATTTTAAAGCTGAAAAAGCAAAAACACCCGCCGCTCGTCCTGCCGCGCTGCTCCATATTACCATATTCAGTCTTCTTTTTAGTGCGGACCGATACGTTACACGTTAAATTTACGTTTTGATATTTTGCGGAAGTGCGGAAAACACAGTGAAAATGCCGAATCCTTCAAGAAAAAGACATAGAGAGAGGAGTCGTAGTAAGTCTGCGACTCATAACGATATATTAGTGCAGTGCTTAAATATAGAGCGTCGATTATACAAGGTAGAAAAACAAAAGAAAGAACGACGCCATCGTTCGATCGTTCAAGGTCTACCTCGACTGGGTCCGATTCGTCGAATTTGAGATATCTTCTGCGCTGGCACAAATGACAGGCATGTCTTCTGATTCTCGAATGAAAATGTTCATTAAAGGTATATTTGGAAAACCCTCCAAAAACCAAGCCACGAAAAGACTTGGGACCCTAGTAATGTTCTGAATTATATAAGAATCTAATCTAATATCGACATATCTCTATAATCTTTAACAAAGAAACTTAAATAATCCTAACAACAAAAGCAACAGTTCATCGAATTCAAACTTTAAGTTTAATTAACAAAAAATACATGATGGTTAAACTTAATGACAAATACGGGGGTATCGCAATGGGCCCAAGGCCTCCGAGTGAGGGATAAAACGTGATCCCAAACCCGAGCAACCTAAGCTAACCTAAACCCAATGACAGGGCAGAGATTAGAATAATTTATTTATTTGTGATTATATAATAGACTTTTAATTGACAATGCCCAATTGGCTCACTGTATTTTAGCCCCAGAGGTTAACTAATCTTGAATATTCTATTTACTTTGAATGTTTTGTAGGCAACATTTAAGTGTCACTACAGAATGTATCTTCTTTGTTAGTTATCTGTTATTACCTTTTGTGTCACGAGTGATATGAGAAATCATTTTCAAATATTATAAATATAAAATATGAGGTAATAAGTTGTTGCATGTATGTATTTAAACATCTACAAACTATTATTTATGAGACGAGGCCGGAATATAATCTTAAGATCAAACGAACTTACCTTAAGTGATGTTCGATCTTGATTATATGTAGGCCTCGTCGAAATCAATAAGTCCCTAACCCACCCTATAATTCATTTTTGAATTATTCCCGTTGCAACAACAGCTTTAAAACAGACTGAATATGGAGCAGCGCGGCAGGACGAGCGGCGGGTGTTTTTGCTTTTTCAGCTTTAAAATAGTGATCGGTTCGGACTAATCCGAAGGTACTACAAACTATTATTTATTTCGACGAGGCCTACATATAATCAAGATCGAACATCACTTAAGGTAAGTTCGTTTGATCTTAAGATTTTGATATGGTTGGTGCATCGTTCATTGACTTTTAGAGGTACCGTGGAGTCCTTATCCTTCCACATTATTAAGAGTACCCATTTCTACTCCATGCTCTTTTGTGTACTTGATAAAATACTACATTCAATTACAGTCGGATACGCAATATCTTTAATAATATAATATGTTTAACTGCAATATTTCTTAAACGTAACGTTTCTTATTGTGTTTTATTTTACGAAGGTCAAAGGTGTTCTGAAGATGTTGAGGAGTCTAGAGTGCCTTTTGATTGTTTTGAACTTATTTGGCAAAATTAGGTGTTTCCTAGTTCAATTATCTATTTCTAAGCTAAGACACAATACGTATTTAGTATAAATTGAATATTATTATAAAGTTATACTTTTTTTCTAGAGCTATAAAACTGAATTATTCTGGTATACAGTACATCAAAAACGTAGAAGGTTACAAATTTGGTTCGGTAGATGCCTTCAGGCGGTCTGATGCAAATCAATGTTTTTGTTTGAATAAGACGATGGATTTAGATGGCGAGTATAGATGTTTTGATGGATTTTTAGATTTAACATCCTGTCAAGGTAAAAATAGTAATTCTAGTAAAAACAATTTAAAAAGAAATTGTAAATTCCCTCTTATAAAACTAGCATATATATGATATGGAAGATATTTGCGATTATTAATTTAAATATAATTATAATATTTGAATTTTTGTTATTACATGTACAGGGTGGGTCAAATTGAACGTTTTTAAATGGAAACACCCTTTTCTATAGGAGACAGACGAAAACTAATATCGCTGTCTGGAGCTCAATTTTCATCAAAAACATAATGGTGAAAACCGCACATCAAACCGCACCACGTTAGCGTTTCGGAGTTACGGGGTGTTTTTCAAAAATGTGCATTTTTAACAAATTGCTGTAACTTTTTTGCTATAGAAAATTTTGTATTTCTATCTAAACATTTGCAAAGCACCTTTTTACGTAGAATTTAATGGTTTAAGTATAATTTTTTAAAATTAATAATTTAACAGTTATCAACAGAAAAATTTATTTTTTATTTGGGACACCCTGTATATTTCTAATTAACTGAAAAAAATTTAAAATTACCTTTCCGAAAATATAGCACACTTGATATTTTGTTATAATCCCCTTCGAAATACAGAATTTTTAAAAGTTCGCCACTTTTTACACAGTACACACACAGTAGTCTTTGGATCCCTTATTGATGATATGCCCTTAATGGAACTCGAAAACATTTTTTTTCCAGCAAGACGACACACCGTCTCTGAACGCTGATAGTGTGTCGAATTTGGTCCACCCTGTACATATATTACTATAGAATATACTAATAAAGATATATAGAATATATCGCTGCTCGTTGCGAACTACTTAGATTGATGTACTAGAAAAAACTACATCATCATCATCATCACACACATTCTCAGCTCACTCTCCTCACATACCGGGTACCGGAGTTTCCTACGATGTTCTCTATGGGTATCTCAGAAACTACTGGAGATAGAGAGTCGGTTAAATGGAGAAAGAATTGCAGTTTTGTGAAGCCATAAATATGCGCCTTTCAGATTTTTGAAAAAGTTCATGGCTTACTAGATATTTCGAAAAAAACAAATTTCGGCTATTTTAAAAATTGTCCCTAATTCCATTATAAGCTATTTTAGACAAAAAGTTTTCAGATAAAAGTTGTAGATAATCATATCCTTAATGAGATTGTGTCCTCCGTTTTTTTCTAAAGTCTGTCATATTTGACATATGACACAAATATATGTTTTTTTAAAATGGAAACCATAGTTGGCTATGACTTCATAAAAAGCGCCATTTTTTAAGCTTTTCAGCTATATAAGCTATATGTTTTCTTCGAAAAATTATCGAGTTATAGCTAATTCTTAAAATTTTTAAATAATTTCACTTACTTAGCCATGGAAACAAGTTCCATCGTCGTTGCTCTCAGAAATGTCAAACTGTCACATGCAAACTTTGTAAATTAAAGTAAACAAAAATTGTAAATATGAATTTTTCAAATGAAGAAAAGCGTGTATTGGTTCAACTTTTCTTGACCATACATTTTCGAGGATACGGTGACCGGTAAATGTTATGTGTTTTAGAGAACGATTTTCAAGACTTGTTAGAGAGGTCAAATTTAGTTATAGCCAATTCTGATCTTTTAATTTTAAATTAGTCAAGTAATTTCACTTAGATTGCATGGCATTCTAAGTGAAATTAGTTATTCTGTTATGATTTACAACTACGGTTCTTTAGAATTTACATTACACAAACTAAGACTTAAAAAAATAATATCACTGCAGTCACTGCATACACTTTAAGTTATTTTAGAAAATGTTCAAAAAATCCGCCATTGTTTTGAGTTACATCTTTTTAAAACTGAATTATTACCTATTCTCACAGAAGGACCAATGGACTTAATTAAACTTCTCTCGTACCGCCACTTCGAGTGCCTCTCTTAATTCATAAGTTCTTTTGTAAACCTTATTGTTCATTAGTGTTTAAGCAGTTCTTAATTACATCAATGTCTTTATTGATTTTTTTTTATGGTACCAGAGAAGTTAAAACTAGAATTACCATGAGGAAAAACAGTTGAAAACATTGTACTTTCTCAGAGTATCATCAGTTTTTAGCTAATTTATCACCAACGTTAAACGCACTAATTTTATTTAATCAAAATTTAATCAAAATATTTCAGCTTCAGCTAATAATCTTACAAGCTCGAACATTTCTTATCAGGGATTAATAATGGGCCCGTTTTTATTCAAAAATCTTCACGATTCTGAAAATATGGACTATTGGGAACTATACGAGTGAAATTATAATTAAAAAAAAATATTTCTGATATTTTGATTTTCTACCGCTATTGGGAACTTCTGCATCACTGTGCGGTGGGTCGGTGGGAAGATGGGCCGGTGGGCCGGTCCCGATCAGAGGTCAAAAAAAGAGCGGATTTAAGAGCGGAAATTAAATGGTTAATCTTCTAACTAAAGTGACGTAAGGTTCTTAGTGACTCCATAACTAACTAATCAATTTGCGTCAGTATAATTGTCAGTTATTTTATACATAAACACCAATTTGTAAAATAACTATTGTAAGATGTCTTTCTCTGAGACACTTATAATTTTAATAAACATCTGTTGTTTGTTCGGTTTGAAGATTTTTATTATACAAGGTTAGTCGTAAATGAAACATAATCTATTCTCTTTACGGTGTTTCAAATAAGTCCAACCGAGTTATTAAAGTTTGAAAATTAAAAAAAAGATTTATTTTTAAAAAAATTTGTGCCACCTAAATTTTTCTGTATTTACATCTCTTTTAGTGCCGTAATATCAGAGATTAAGAAAATATACCGTGGGAAAATTTGGGGTGAACAGGAAGTTCTAAAAAGTGTTTTAAAATATAAAGGAAAATTTTAAAAGGAAATGCACTATTTTTAACATATTTTTTGCAAAAAAAACTCATAGACGTGTTCTTGGGGTCCAAATATATCACCCCTGAAAATATTTGCACTTATTTAAGACTCACCCTGTATAGTTTTACCTGTATAATTAAGTATTATTTTTATTAATAACTAATAAATATGATTGACTGGCAGCTGAAAAAAGAATGAATAGCTTTAGGTAAATTTAAATAGTCTCGATCTAAGTGTATACTAAGAGTACGATAGCGTAGATTGACAACTGGGGACCTCGGTGCAATATTTTTCGAGCACCCCTTTGTAAAAAGGTAGACGAATTTGACGCGAACTCTGCGGTTGACAGAGAAAATATGAAGATGACTATCTGTATGCTTGGTTTGAATTGGATCTAAATTGTTGTTTAAAATGTTAAAATTAATTTACTAAAAATTACTGAGACAGCAGAGAAGAGTTAAATAAGGTTTAAACTAGGTTAGATAATAAAATATTAATATGTCTCGAAAATCCAAATACTCTTATTATGGACTGTAACATAACATTACCTCAGAACGCATTTATATAAATAAATCTGCCTACGCCTAAAAAACCTAGGCAATAGTAGTTAGTTACTACAAAACTATGGCATTATCATACAAGATGCCAAATGTAAACAAGAATAGAGGAAAAGTGATAAGAACTGTATAATAACCTAAAAAATGCAGAATGCAGCAGTTATAATGGCAACCGCGGTTCATTCAGTTAAAAACATGTATACACGACGAGGCTGCTGCTGTACCAGAAAAGAGAGAATTTATTTCTACAATGTGGAAGAAACTATATACCTGAAAAGCTAAAAATAATGTATTTCACAGAGGATTGGGCCAGCTGAACTGGATGAATCATCAGGAAGTCTTAAAGTTTCTCAAAATCCTGACTCAAAATCGTAGCCTATTCAAGATCAAAAGACTGTTATCGATAATGGAAATAAATCAGTAGAATCCTGTAAAACTGGGCCATTTTGTAGTAAAAATTCAGATGTCCGACCCAATATTGATCTTTATGAAAATTTTGATCAAGACAATTTTAATTTTTTAAAAAAACCGGAGGCAACAGAGCTTTCTTCGCACGAGCAAAAAAATCCCTTGCTTATATATTAATAAATAAAATATGTTTCTTCGTTATAATAATTTTTTATCATTTTATTTTTTGTGGATTTGGGCCGGTTGCCTGTTTCCGGTTCCCTGTTCCCGAGCGCGTATTTACGTTTCCGTGTTCATTTGAACACCGTGCGGTCTTGAAATCAGCACGGAATTGTTGCTCGGTATTGTTTACGTTTTTCAGCTGGCAGAAATAAATAAATCGAAAAACAAAACTCAAGGAGCAATGAGAAACTTCAATTATGAAGCAAACATAAGCATAACATTTTTAAAAGTGGCGGAACATCCTTTAAAAACATTATCTTTATTGAAGAGAGGTTTAAATGTCGCTCTACATATTAATTTTATTCATTTACACAGAGTCAATGTAGCTCAATCTTTAGGACTTTCGCGGTGCTTTGAAGATACAAAAGAACAATATATATATACATATATCCTACTTTGACGCTGGAATAATTTTAACTTTAAAATAATTTTGAAACAAAAAAGATAGACCTTCTGGAGTGCGGTATCAATTTATGCATAGTGGAAAATCTCATAGTTTTAGTTATTATTATCCCAATAATGCAACAAATTTACGAGGCGGGATTAGCTGATGAAATGTTATTTATCGATACAAATGGATCGTGTGATCAGACTAATACTTGTGTGACATTTATATTTGTTGGTAACAAAGTTGGTGCTTTATCTAAAGCTGTTATTTTGCACACTAGTCAATCACAGCACAATTATACTTTGGCTTTTCAAACAGCATAACATTTTCTGGAAAAAAACTTGCTGAAAGTTATTTCAACCAAGAATTAATACGACCGATGACAGTAGTGCCGGGGAAAATGCTTTAAGAAAAGTTTTTCCTGTCTGCTTGCCATGTATTTAAATGGACCAACGCACATTAGAGCGCGCAGCGCAGAAGCGCGCCGCGGGATTTCCGTCAAGAAGTCGGAAGACTTCTCTAGCAACTTTTTTCCGTCTCCCGCGTTTTGACGCGTTGCAGTGTGCGT